AACATTCAATCATCATTCTTTTTATAAATGAGAGTAGCTTTATTAATTCAAATAATGAAAGTACAGTCAGCCTAGGAGGAGGCATGAGGTGTTACCTCCCCTGAGGACTGAAGCATCAACACTAAACATACACAAGCCTGAAACACAATTACAAAGTAGCCCAAAACAGATCTCCCCTTGACACCCCTTGCTTGGCCAGAGAATCAGCCATTGCATTTGTTGATCTGCTGACCCACTGAAAGCTGACAACCATATTTCTTGTCAGCCATTTAACCTTCTTTAACAAATCCCTTTTGCCCCAACAAGCTGTTTCTAGACTTGTCAGCCAGCCCACTACTACCTTGGAATCTCCTTCTACTATCAAATTGTTCACTCCAAGTTGACTGGCCATCTGTATACCTTGTACCACTGCTAGTATCTCTGCCGTTACAAAATCACCAATACCCACTGGTCTTGAAAATAAAGACAACATGTTGCTGTCTTTGTCTCTCAGAATCCCTCCTACTCCAGATGGCCCTGGGTTACCTTGGCAGCTACCATCAAAATTCAATTTTTCCACTCCATTCGGTGGGGGTTTCCATTCAGCTTGTGATTTGTTTTTTGTGGAGACTGTAGAAGCCACTGTTGCCCAGTTTCTCCTCAAGTCATCAAAGGAGTAATCTGCCAACAAGTGTGAAGATTTCAGCCATGAGACTGTCCTTGTCATTATGCATTCCTTGATTTTAGAAGGACTTCTTTCCTTTTCTTGAAATATTCTATCATTTCTCTCCTCCCATAACGTCCACAAGGTAGCGGCTCTAATACATTTCCACATTAGCTTCCCTCTTTTTGTCAATCTCCCAAAGGCAGCCGGAGTGAATAGCAGCTTTACTTTGGAGGGCAAGTTCCACTTGCACCCAAATAATGAAACAACCCAGTTCCAAATATTGGCAGCAAAAGAGCACAATATCAGCAAATGATTACAGTTCTCACCTTTCACATTACACAAAAAGCACCAATTTTTTGGTGACAAACACATTTAAGGTTTCTTCTTTTGCAAGTTTTCCATAGTATTGATCTTACCATAATAGGCTTCCCAACAGAACATTGCTATTTTAGGGGGTATTGGCCTTGACCAAACCTCTTTAACGGGGAAGACTTGAGAGGAGTTGGAGCAAAGGGCTTTAAAGAAAGATACACAAGTGAAGGAGCCAACCAGGGTTAGAGACCAAACCCTTTTATTTGGGTTAGGGGGGTCCAAACACACCGAGTCTAGAAGCAACAAGAGCTCTAAAACACAAAGAAATTCTTCATCCCTTAACCCTTTTCGAAACCCAAAGGGCGAACCAGGGGGAAAGGAACAATGAAATGGGTTTCTTTTTAAAGAGGGAGATGGAATAGAGAGAAGGGAAACAGTCTTTTAGGGGTTAAGTGCTCACCCAAATATCTTCCCAAAAAAGAATGGAGTTTCCAGAACAAGCATCATACCTTACAAATCTGAGGAATTTGGGGAGAATGCCAGAAATAACCTTCCAAGGTGTTGTGAGCAAAGTCCTTCGGGATACCCCTGCGTCCCAACCTGATTCAGAATAGCCATGGATACTCTTCACTACTTCATGCCACAACCTCTCCCTCTCCAGGGGCCACCTCCAAAGCTACTTATCTAAAAGAGCTTCATTCTTACTCATCACATTCCCTAAGCCTAGGCCTCCTTTTTTGCTTTGACTCATCACCTCCCACCTAATCAAGTGATCATTTTTCTCTCCCCAGGTTCCCATAAGAAGTACCTCATCAGTTTTTCCAACCTCTTTGCCTCCCTTTTAGGAATTCTAAAGACTGACAGGAAGTATAAAGGCAAGTTGGCTAAAGTTGCTTTAATCAAAGTAACTCTACCCCCCAAGGAAATATAGTTTTTCTTCCAAGCTGCCAATCTTTTTTCGAATTTTTCCACCACCGGGTTCCAGAACCTACTTTCCTTTGGATTTGCACCTAAAGGAAGTCTTAGGTAGGATAGAGGCCACTGAGACCAAGTGCATTCTAATGAGGCTGCTATAGACTCCATCTCCTCTTTGTTCAAATGTATTCCCACAACACAACTCTTCTCAAAATTTATCTTCAAATTTGAGGCCCTCTCAAAGTGAATTATTAAATCCTTCAGATTCCTTACCTCCATCAGATCACAACCTTCACAGAAGATTATTATGTCATTTTTAAATTGAAGATGGGTTATCGATAGTCTATATCTATTCTCCACCCTCTTAAAGATCCGGCCCTATCCGCTTCTGAGAGGAGTCTACTAAAACAAATTCATGAAAACCTTTCAATGTCATCCTTACCTACCATTAATAGTATTTCATCCAAATATAGTACAGACCATTATCTCTAAATTAAAACATACTTGAAACATTGGGTCATAAATAGGTGATTTTCAAGCTTAGTGGATCAACCCAAAATGGACACCTTTATTAATTGTGATAAACAGGTTGACCATAAACATGGTTAAGGTAGTAAACCCAAACACACTATGTCTCGTGTTCAAGGGTGTATAAGAGAAGATAAGATAAGTGGTAAATTGGTGGTAGAAATTTGTCTGAAGGAGTCTGAGTGTTTTCTTGATAGTCAAGTGGATATTGTTTGTCAAGATACTGAAGAAGAGGTGGGGGAAGAAGGTGTTGATGCCAGGGAGTTGATCAAGGAATCTTTTTTTATGCTGAAACTGATCTAATTGTCACCCAGAAATTGCTAACAGTCAATCTGGAATGCTGAAATAGGTCTAGCAATCACCCAGAAATGCTGAAACAAATCTAATAATGACCCAGAAATTATTGTCAATCAGTCTGGAATGCTGAAACAGATCTAACAATCACCCAGAAACTGCTGACAATCAGAATATTAGGGCTAAAATCAGAGAACTAATCGTAGGACTAGGAAAACCCTAGAAAAAAAATCCAGAGAAATCAAAAAATTTCAGCCACTCCATCCAGATACTCTAATATGTTTCTGATTGGTGTCAATCTCAAAGAAAAACCAAAATTTAATCTTATTACCAAAGGACAAGTCATACTTCATATGATTGAGAGACAAAGGGGGAACACCATGTATTGGCTTTCAAGGGAAACAGTAGCTTTGTGCATCAAACTAGCATCCCAATCATTCTCTGATAGCCCATGAATGCTAGTCACTTGCTTATGCCAAAGCTTTTCATTCTTTGTGGGGGTACCTCCACAACCACTTACCTAAAAGAGATAGATTCTTCTTACTCACATTACCTTTTTCCAAGCTACCCTCCTCTTTAGTTCTACTTGTTTTTTCCCAACTAACCAAATGAGTTTTCTTCACCTGTCCTGGTTTCGCAAAAAGTCCCACATAATCTTCTTAATCAAAGTTAACATTGACATGTAACACACAAGGAGATTTGCTAGGGTGGACTTAATCAAAAGCTAGTAGATTTGGGGTTGGCACCCAAAGGTAAGCCCAGATACTTCAACGGTCTATCATCACACATTAAACCTCAACTCTTCTAAATGTATTCATGCTACCAAACTCTTGCCCCAATTGACCTTCAAGTTAGACAATCTTTCAAATACCTCACTACTAACTTCAAATTTTCAACAATTGACTATTCATCCCATCAGAAAAAGTAATTATATCATCTGCAAATTGTAAATGGGTTACCACAAACCTCTCTCTCCCCACAGTCCACCCCTTCAAAAATTGCATTCTATTAGCTCTTGAGATCAATCTATCAACACATCTACAACCGAAGTAAAAAGAAAGGGAGATAAAGGATCATCTTGCCTAAGACCCCTCATTGCCCCCAAAAAGTCCCTCACAAATCCATTAATGATCACTGAGAAATGGCAAGTTTGTAAACATCCCTTAATCCATTTACAACAAAATTCTCCAAATCCACAATTCCTCATTATGTTAAGCAAAAACTCCCAATCAACAAGAGCATATGCTTTCTCCAGATCTAGCTTATTTGCCATTCCCTTTCTCCATCTTTTTTGTGCCTCCACACATTCATTAGGTACAAGAATCCGATCCACAATCTGCCTTTCCTAAGATAAATGCCCCTTGAAATTGTATGATAATCGAAGGGTTATATTTTATATTTTTTATATAAATATTACAAAATGACTCCTATAATACATGTTATATGTGATATTTCATATTTCAAAATATAGAAAATAATTTTTATACACATTGTATGACATATAATATAAAAAATGTATATTTAATATTCTATACATTAAATTCATAGGCCTGGAATTAGGCCCAGCCTGGACTGGGCCTGGGCTATAGCCCTTAGAACAGGTGCTAAGCCCAGCCCAGCCTGGCCCATGATCACCCGTAGGCCCCACCTTAAATGTCATCCTAGGGATTCCATTTCTTCTAAGATTCAATTATTTTTAGGGTTTTGCATGAAGATAGTTCATAACAAAGAAATTACAGAATAAAACAATTCGTCAATAAAAAATTCAATGTCTACATAGTGGCAAAAATTCAGAAAAATAAATTTATTCAGCTTTTTATGCAATTGTGCCCATTATGAGAATTAGAATACCATGCAACTATTGAAAAATTAAAATTACAAAGAGATCCTTTCCTACTGAACACTTTATAAAAAATATCCCTTCACATTATAATAGCTGCTTGTAGATGAAAGTAAATTGATATCTCTTTATTTGTTATTGATATATCAGTCCCTGGATATTATATTTTGGGCACAAAGAAAACATTTGTAGTAAATACGATGAACAGTCCAGAAAAGTGTTTACCTGTCATGTGCTTTGGTTCTTTTAGTTTTTATATTTCATTAAACGCTCTCAAATGGTAGGTCCTGACCCCCCAAGACCCATGCCATATGTAAAACTGAATAAATGAAGACAGGTCATTGTGTTGTAACATACATTCCATTTCCTAGAATGTGCTTGCATATTCAAATATTAAGTTATTCCTTAGAGGCAGGATTGGTTTTGTACATAATTGCTTAACTACTATATTTGGTTGCATTGCAGGCAGCTCAGGATGGAGTGGATATTATAAGCTTATCAATTACTCCCAACCGGCGCCCTCCTGGTCTTGCAACTTTCTTCAATCCCATAGATATGGCCCTACTTTCAGCTGTGAAGGCTGGGATTTTTGTTGTACAAGCAGCAGGCAATACTGGGCCCTCACCCAAGAGTATTTCTTCCTTCAGTCCATGGATCTTCACCGTGGGTGCCTCTGCTCATGACCGGATCTACAGTAATTCCATAGTTCTTGGCAACAACATAACCATTTCTGGAGTTGGGCTTGCACGTAAGTTTGCCCTTAAAATCATGGAAATAATTTCATCTGGTATTGTATCTGGCAGCTGTACAGCCTTTTATGGGTAGTTCAAAGATACAACTTGGTGCAAAATTTAGTGATTAGGATTAATATCTTAATACTTAAGTATCCATTGGCCCCTACAACAATTTGTATTTTGACCTTATTTGGTTGAGAATCCTAGAGGTTAGGTCCATGTCCAGTCCACCTTTTACCTTGTTTGGTTGATCATAATTCCTCAGAAGCTATGAAACACTATAAACAAAAAAAATTATTATGATAATGTTACATTAGTGTACTGTACTGGACTTGAAACAAAGAAGCACTTCTGTGGATTTTGCAGAGGAAACATGATATGTGGAGATAGGAACTCAGTATTGTTGGATCCCATCCATAATTTTCATAAAACGATTAGTTGTATGTGAAGATTTCTTTTTTTCTCTGATTGATCCAACAACTGCATGTTTTCCATGTTCCCTTCATGCAACCCTGTGCCTTGTTTCTAAAAATATATACTGAATTTTATATTATCTTCAGCGGGAACAAGAAATACTACAACCTACACGCTGGTTTTGGCACTTCATGCTTTGAACAATGAAACAACGGATACCAATGGCATGTACTTGGGAGAATGTCAAGAGCCCACTAGCTTGAATCGTGATCTGATCCAAGGAAACCTCTTGGTCTGTAGCTACTCAATTCGCTTTGTGCTTGGGCTTTCTACCATCAAACAAGCCTTGGAAACAGCTAAGAATCTCAGTGCAGCAGGTCTTGTGTTCTACATGGATCCTTTTGTTATTGGATTCCAGCTTAATCCTATTCCAATGAAACTGCCTGGTGTAATAATTCCATCACCTGATGATTCCAAGGTGAGCCTTTCTGGTAATTATAAATGATTGATTATAGAAGTGTAAATATTAAAATTTAGCTAGAAAAGTTTTCCAACTCATTTAGACATAAAAATCTGCATACAGTCTGAATTGTTTGAAATTATATTTCCTTTTTCTTATCTTGGATATTTATTATGCATCTTTTTAGCAGACAAGCATATCTACATTATATACATTTTTGTCAGAAACAAGCTTATCCTCTAGTTATGTCTCTGGTGCTATCTATTTCATGATTTTGCATTGCTTTGGGTTCACCGTAAGGTGAATTCAAAACCAGCTGATTGTGGGATGGACAGAATTTGAGCAGAGCCACTAGTATGGATTGGTTGGCCACCTGTACTTTGAAAACTTGCCATATCCGTCCCATTTAACTACACTTTGTTCTTGTTATGTTTTTTATGGTTTCTTTCAAATTTTGTCAATTGTTGAGCAGATCCAATTAGGGCTGTGATCATATCGTATGTACCTCCATTCAAGTTCAATCATAATTAATAAAGATTTATTATTTATTCCTTGTTTTTAAAACATTTCCCCAATTTTTAAAATTTCCAATTATCTTTGCAATACTAACGAAATATTCCCAAAATTTCTCAATCTCTATGTGGCAAAATGTCCATCATTGTAGAAATTGCAAATCATGGGTCCAAGTAGAAAGCTCTAAAAGGGGAAGTGGAAGAGCAAAGAAAACATGGTCCATAGTGGTAATGATCTAAGGACTGAGAATTTTAGAGAAAACATAGCTCTTGATAGAGCACAATGACAAGACATGATCTGTATTACCAACCCCAAATAACTGTAATTAAGGATGAGCTGAGTTCAGTTGTTGAACAGGTCCACTACCACAAGTTTAGGGTTCTGCTCTCAGTAAATTCTTTTATATGGAATATAAAAATGTAAATTAATTGATATTCTTATACTACTAGATGAGAATTTTGTCCTTTTTAAAAATTCTCAAGTTTGGGTATTGGATCATGGTTATCACTTATGACTTCAAAGATGGATGCTGGCTTTTCTTTATCTATGTATGCTTATAATGATGCCTTCAATTATCTTTTGAGCAGATTTTACTACAATATTACAATTCCTCCTTGGAGAGAGATGCTGTTTCAAAGAAAATTGTCAAATTTGGTGCTGTTGCAAGTATATTAGGAGGATTGAAAGCTAATTACAACAACTCTGCACCAAAGGTTATGTATTATTCTGCCAGAGGACCAGATCCAGAGGACAGTTTCCTTGATGATGCTGACATATTGAAGCCCAATCTAATAGCTCCTGGAAATTTCATATGGGGTGCTTGGAGCTCTGTCGGTGCTGATTCTGTGGAATTTGAGGGTAAATGCAATAAGCTTGGAATTTTTAAATGCATGCTGACACACATTAATGATTTGTTTAGCACGAAAAACAAAAGTGTTTATAAAGGTTTTGGATCCATGAACATATCTTAGTGTTATTCATGTATATACACCATATTCTTGTTTTGATACCGGCTCGGTGTAAAAAAAGCAAGATAGAAAAGAAAAATAGGAAATACAATAGAAGGATATTTTAAACACCAACAAAACAAAAATAAAAGAGAAGAATATATAGATTTACATTGTTTGTGTATTAGCCTACACCCACAGAGTATACCTGCAAAATTTCCACTATTTCTCAATCAACAATTACAGCACTATCAGAAAGCTAGTATTTTATATAATTGAACTAGGGTTTCTATACGATGCCCTATTGTAGGGAAAATTTTCGCATAATTTTCCCCCAACATCTTCTTCAGTGCTGCCCAAGTATTTTGTGTAGGGGATTCTTCACTTGCTTAGGCAACCAGTCACCAAGCCTAGAAGCCTACTAGTCGGGCCATAGACATTTACTTGTCTCTATAATTATATTTTATTTCATATTTTTCATGAAATCTATAAAAGAAGATTGTTGGGTGAAAAGGCAATAGGGTTAACTCAAACCTAGGTCTTATTTGTTAAAACAAACAAGAAATGCCAACTCTAGCAGAAGATGACTTTGTACAAAAGCTGGATATATATATATATATATATATATATATATATATATATATATATGAATTTTTGGACTTGTACTCCCCCTGTCTAGGTAGCTTGTTGGGGCCCAGCCCAGCCTACATGGTAGCAAAAGAACACAAAAAGGTATGCTGTATTTTGATTAGTTCAAAATATTCCTAGAACTAGTCTCTTAGCCAAAAAATTAAGGTATGATTACAATTTCTTATTTTTGGAACAATGTCTAACCTACGAATTTGGAAAGTGATAGAATACTCTCTTATATTGAATAAAAGAGCATAGAAGAGAAAGAGTCTAGGATTGCCTGATTCTCATGTGACAGAATTCTGTAGGTCGAACAATAATAAAAAAAATTAATAGTCAAACATCAGTTCCGCTCAAAAAGCCCCTTCTCCCCCAACTCCTTTTATAATAGGGAGGGGTCATTTATAATAGGACTCCAAAAAGAAAAAGGAAACTGACTTGCAATAGGTAACTAATACTGACTTCCAAAAAGGACTTCAAATCAATTAGACTTTTACTAGGACTGGTAACCATAAAGTTGTTTAACAAAACAGATATTTGTCATATGAAGATGGAGAAAAGTACTAATGCAGTAAGAAGATTTAGAAGACAGAAAACCAACTAAACGGTGCAAGCCTCAAAAGTTTTTGCCAGGTTAAAAGTTGGGAGTATTTGGAGCAGGATTAAAGAAGGGGAAGAAGATAAAGAAAGTCTCTCAGACGAGAAGTAAGATCTCTGTTCTAGTTAGCGGACAGGATGAGAAAATGGATAAAGCTTGAGGTTAAGTTTGTCATCAGAGAGTTGGGTGGGCTCAGGTTGTTTTTTCTTATGTGTTTTATGGCAAGGGTTGGATGGTGCGGGATATGCAGTTTTTTGGATGCTTTTATTTCTTCTAGTGATTGGTGGAAAGGGTCTCTGTGATTTTTGTTTGTGTTGTATCTGGTTTTTCTAAGGTGTTTTGAATTGTTTGTTGGGCTGTTTTTTCTGTTTAAAGGGTTAATTTTGTTAGGGTAGGTTGGTAGTATTTGGGTCTGTGGGTGATTCCTTATTACCCTGTTGTATTCTCTTTTCCCTTCTTCATCTATAAAGTTTATTTTTTATTTATCTTCCAAAAAAAAAAACAGATATTTGTCATATTAATAAACTTGACAAAAATTGAGCTTAAACTGATGGGATGGCTCAGCTGGACCGTTTCTAATTAATGGACTTTCCCTCTTTGTTCTTCTTTCTCCTTTCATATACTTTATGTAAGTTTGGATGCTCCCTTTTCTTAATAAATTTTCAGCTTTTCAATATCTAAGGGATGTATTACATCATTCGCACCCACTTCAAAAGAATTCATCATCGAGTTCTCTTCATACTCCTCATAATAAGGTGACAAATGCTTCACATTAAAAGTACTATTGACTTTAAGCTCTGGGGATAATTCTATATGCATTAGCTCCCATTTTCTCCAGAATCTTGCTAGGACCAATTTTCTTGGGCTTCAATTTGTGATTTCACCAAATGGATACCTTTCCTTAGAAAGATAGATCCATACTTCATCTCCCACTTCAAAATTTTTCTCTTTGATGCCTATATTTTGTGCCTTGTATCTAGCATAGATTTCTTCAATGTTGCCCTTTACTTGCTAATGAATTGCCTTCAGTTCAGCAATGGCATCTTCAGCCTTCTTGTTGCAGTGCATGAGATTTGGAAAAGGAATAAGGTCAAATGGCTTTTGAGGATTCCTCCTAAACACCACTTCAAAAGAGGAAAAACTAGTGGTTCTATTTTTTGAGCAATTGAGCTTGGATTCCAGATTTAGTAGTGCTAAATACCACTTTTTCTAAGTCTTTACATGGGCCCTAAGCATGCTCCCTAGAGTTCTATGGACAACTTCAGTTTGTCCAACAGTTTGGAGAAAAAGTGAAGCATAGTACCAAGTTTCTGCCAAATAACCCAAAAGGTGTTCATAAATTTAGAGTCCTTGTCATTTGCATCATGGGTTGTCTTACATGGAATGAAGTGAGTCATCTTTGAAAATCTGTCCACAACCATAGAATTATTATCCCATACTCCGGCAAATTTAGGCAGGCCAAGAACAAAATCCAGCAATATCAACCCAAGGATAATAAGGAATAAGTAAAGGTGTGTATAGACTAGCATTAAAAGGATTTCCCTTGGCTGTTTGACAGATGCGACACCTTTACACATACTAAGAGACATTTCTTTCAAGGTTTGGACAAAAGAAATGCTCCCAAATTAGTGCACGTCTTATCCTTCAAAGTGTCTAATTTATTCCTCCATAATGAGTTGTCATAGAAATGTGATAGGAATGCACAAGCAATTTTCTTTAAAAAGAAAATCTTGGACCAATAAATAATCTTGATTTTCTCCTGCTTCAACAAGATCGGCCATAATTTTCTTGAAGAACTCATCCTCCATTTCTTGCTCTTTTAATAATTCAAACTCAAGTACATCAACCCACATAGAGCTTAGAAGAGAATGTCTTCTGTCAAGGCATCAACTACCTTATTAAGAGTCCCAGATTTGTGCTTGAGTACAAAAGTATAATTTTAGAAGAAATTTACCCATTTAGCATGTCTAGGGTGCAATTTATGTTGCTCACCAAGGTATTTCAAGGTCTCATAATCTGAAAATAGCACAAACTCATCAACATAGGTAGAGTAATTTAGTAAAGAGGTAAGGCCCCGGTCAACTTCTCACTAAAATACCCTCAGATTATGAGACCTTGAAATACCAAGTCAAACAACTTGTTAAAATCTGGAAATATTAAACAAGGAACATTTGTGAGGGATGTTTTGATATCATCAAAGGCCTTTTGTACATAAGATGTCCACTCAAAAACACCCCTCTTCATTAAATCATCTATAGGTGCCATTCTAGTATTGAAATACTTGACAATCATCTATAGAAGCTAGTCAACCCATGGAAATATCTCTCCTTATGAATGTTGCTAGGTGCTGGCCACTTGAATATAGCTTCAACTTTTACATCATCCAGCTTCAAGCCTTCCCTAGAAATTTTATATCCCAATTTTTTTATCATCTCAAGGTACATCTTTTTAGGTTAGCAAAGATCTTCTTGCTTCACAATTCTTCCAACACCTTAAAGTGTTGAAGGTGTGTTGGAAAATCCTTACTATAAATAAGAATATCATCGAAATAAACAAGAAACTTACCAATCAAGGGTCTAAACATTTATCCTCCTCATAAAGGAATTAGGAGTTTTGGATTGACCAATGCTTGAAGGTGATCTTTCATTTCCATGTTGGATTTTGATTTAATGAAATACTTGATCTTCCACTCTTCAAGTCGATCTTATAGAAAATGGTGGCGCCACCAAGTTGATCCAACATTATCATCTAATTCAGAATTGGGAATCAATATTTGATAGTAGTTTTATTAATGACTCTACTTTCAACACACATATGCCAAGTACCATCTTTCTTTGGGATTAATAGTTGTTGGAAGATTTCTGTAATTATGTATTATATCTGATTATGTGCTATTTTAGGTAGTTGAGAGATTTGTGAGCTGTACAAATTTTTAGGAATCAGCTTTATCTTTCCTTTAATTAGGGAGATTTGTTACCTAGTTTGTATCCTTTAATCAGGGAGATTTGTTACCTAGTTTGTATCCTTTAATTAGGGAGATTTGTTACCTAGTTTGTATCCTAGAGAGCTATAAATTTCGATGTACAGAAGCACAAACGATCATCCCATTCTTCATATCTTTCTATCTCTTCTTTATGGTATCAGAGCAGAAAAGACCTAGGGTTTGTTTCTGCGTTTCTGTCCCTAAAAATGTCCGAAGTCACGTCCAGCTCTCATCCTTCTCAGCCTGAGCCCCAGATTGTCCGGAATCTGCCTGAAAATCACCTTATTCAGATCACTACAATCCGACTAAATGGTGACAATTTTCTCTGGTGGTCACAATCTGTTCGCATGTATCTCAGAGGGAGAGGGAAAATTGGCTATATCTCAGGAGACACGAAGAAGCCTGATGTGAAGGATCCAACCTATGCTGTTTGGGATGCTGAAAAATCCATGGTGATGAAATGGTTGGTTAACTCCATGACTAAAGAGATAGGTGCAAATTATCTCTGCTATTCTACAACCAAGGAATTATGGGACAATGTCTCACAGATGTACTCTGATTTAGGGAGTCAATCCCAAGTGTACGAATTAACTCTACAACTCGGAGATATTCGCCAAGGTGAGAACTCTCTAAGTATTTTAATTCTCTTAAGAGAATTTGGCAGGACCTGGACTTATTCAACGTTACGAGTGGAAGTCAC